GCTCGACGCAAAAAGTTGACTGTTTTGGGCCCTGATGTCCCATCTATGTACTTTATAATCTTTGACGAAACATACAAAACTTTTTAACAATTGGACGATCCGTTCGGAAGATATATTCGAGTGTTCAAAACATTATTTTTGTATGGGTAAAAATACTGTTGAAACCGTACGGCAACTTGGCTTGACAATTGTTATCCAGAATCTGCTCCATCTAAAAGAACAATATTCGGATGGCTTGCCGATTTCAAGCGTGTTTGGGGGAATGATTCTGAACGCATTGGACGCCTAAAAGAGGTTGTTACTCCCGCGAACATACCCGATATTTCATGGCTGAAAAACAGATTTGGTCGATCTGAGAAGATTTTTAACATAGATTTTCAAAAATATAATATAACAATAAATAAGATATAATAGTAAAAAAAAAAACATTTTATTCAGTCGTTTCGTAAAAAGAAAGGACCATGGAAGTGAATGTAGCACGAGTTTCATAAGAAATGCATAGACGTACATTTTAAAAAGAGCGAGTTCTGTCCAGCAGTCAAAATTTCCTGTAGGTTTCAGTTTTAAAGCTATCGTCTTGAAACTTCTTTCCTTTGCACGCAGTATATAAGTCGGAACGGCCGACTATATCCTATAGCTGCCATATAACTGATTGATCGGAAATGGTATAACTTTGGTGTTTTTAGAGTTAGAGAAATCAAATTTGACACAAGAGCTATTTTCGCAAAATATTGAGACATGCCAAATTTCATAAGGATCGGCCGACTATATCCTATAGATGCCATATAACTGAACGATCGGAAATGGTAGAAATACCAAATTTGGTATTGTTAAAGATAAAAGTTTTGGGACTTGTTTTAAATTTTGTATTATAATAAATTGGGATTAGGGATACTTATGATTAGTGTCAGGTGATATATTATTCTTAACTATACTAAAATATAACGATCTATCATGAGGGTGACGGGAATTGTAGATTAATATGGCCTTCTTGGCATCAACTTTTTCATGGGTTCTAATTGCTTGGATTTCCTGTTGTTTAACGAAGATTGGGCATCTTCTGTATGCCGATGAATGCCCGGTTTTCTGAAGTTTGACATCCAGACAATTTACACAGCATTTTTCGTTGGAGCATATTTCATCCTTTTCAGTGGTCAGTGTGGGATTCGTTGGCACAGTTGATACAAATTTTAGCACTGGAGCAAATGCTGGCGATCTGTCCATACCGGAAGCAATTTTTGCAGCGAAGTGGCAGCAGGTGAATACGGCCGTATTTTCATTGATTGGTAACACATTTTGACTGTTTCTGGTGTTGCATTGGATGCGAAAGACACGAAGCTTGGATGTTTCCCATTAGTGTACCATTCATTACTGCATTCCCATTAGAAAAGAGGATGTTTTCCATTAGTGTAAGTTTGTTTCTTGTTTTTACGAGAAGGTTTTCATTCCATGTATTTTTTGCAAAGAAAACTTCACCATTACAGGTGTTATCAACTTTTTTTTTCTTTTATTAGGAACGGATTGACGTTACGCATGGACTGTTTATCATAGCGCCGGATAACCAGAAATTTTGGTACTGCCAAATTGGGCGGCTTATTGGGCGGGTCGACTACACCCATAGCGTGAATAGGTTGTACTATACACCGTTGGGTTGATATTTTCTTTTCATGAGTTTGAAAATAATTAACAATATTATAAATAGATTTAAACTATACAAAAAGTGTATGATTCGAGCCTGAGTTGAACTCGTTTAACTCTGGACATCAGCCAAGCTCTGTACCACTCGGCTATCCCTTATTCGTTGTCGCGCGAAAAATTTCCCTTTGGACAAAATTATAATACCCTCTGCTAGGGTATAAAAATATTATTATACCCGATTCTAATATTATTCTATTCTAATATTTTCTATCTATTCGTGTGAATGTATGTAAAATAGAAACGGAATAATCTTCTACCCCATGAAGTATATATATCCTGTGTTCATACGGAAACAGCCAAGTGTTCACTTGTAATATGAATTTGCACGTCCCGACGTCCCGTCCATCCAAAGTCTTCAAAGAACGAAGCATGTTTTTGAGGCGATGGTGGAGATCAGCCGATAACGGTATGATCAATGATATCGTGGCTTAACTGCTTCCTGAGATCCTGTTGGTAGCTGCAACAAAAGGCTTAAACAGCACCTCAAGATCGTTTAGGACGAAAACCTCTTCTGCTTTTAGCGGTGGGGAGCCCTTTTCGAATCCAATAGAACACGAGAAATGGAGTCTTTTCTTTTTAAAATTCGGGTTACCATTTTGAAGCAGTTATTCCACCTGATCGGTACTTCTTGGGTGTCCTGCATTATAATGTTGATAATGTATGCAAAAGGCATGCGACTTTTCGCCAGAATAGTGCAGGCTCTAATCATTGAGGCTGCATTATCTGTCACAATTGCAGTTACCTTGTTTGCGAAACCCCATTCGGACAGAACGATCTGAATCGTTTTGCAGTTTAGCTGTTGAAAAAACAGTGCTTTTTAATTTAAAATCATCCATCAGAAAATGGCATGTGACCGTCAAGTAGTGGTCGTTGGCCCTTGGCGTCCATCCGTCGGTAGTCACAGCGCAGAACCTTACCCTTCTGAGAATCGCTTTTAGCTGCTTATCGATATCTTCGTACATGTTAGTTAAAAGTACATCACCTAGTGTCCTTGTGCAGGGTAATTTGTATTGTGGGTCCAAGCAGTCCACAAATTTGCAAAAACCTGAGTTTTCCCCAATTCTAAGAGGCTTTAAATCAGTACAGGTCATCTCAATAAGAGCCTTGTCAAGTGAGGTTTTTCGGGATGAACCATTTTCATAGGTTGTTGTCTTTTTAGTGTAAAAAAAATCTCATATTTTTTTAACAACTTTTGGAATGCTAACCGCTGTCGAATGAGCTCACTTTAAGTGGTTGAATAAATTTGTTGTGTTTTCACAAGTCTCTCAGTTTTAAAGCTATCGACTTTAAACTTTGCACACACCCTTCTTTTTTTTGCATGCAGTACATACATAACTGATGGATCTGAAATGCTATGAGTTTGGTGTTGTTAGAGTTCGATAGTCCGACTTTTTACGAATAACAAATTTTATAAGGATCGGACGATTCATATAGCTGCCATATAACTGAACAATCGAAAATAGTGTTTTTTATTTGGTAAAAATACCAAGTTTAAAGTTTTTGAAGACTCGTTGGGACTCTTTATACCCGGTTCTCGTGGAGTACAAGGGTACATTGAATCATCTCGGACCCCAAAAGTACATATATTCTTGATCAGCACCAACAGCCGAGTCGATATAGCTATGTCCGTCTGTCCGTCCGTCCGTATGAACGCGTGGATCTCAGAGACTATAAGAGATGGAGCTTTTGAAATAGAGACTCCTAAAATACCCACGCAGTTAAAGTTTGTTAATATTGCCACGCCCCCTCTTGCCCCCACAGATCGCGAATTTCTGTAGCCCCAGTACAAGACGGTTTTTTGAAAAACTGTTGATGCCAAACCATTTCTATATCTATTATATATCTTAAAAAACAAATTTAAATCAAATCGGCCGATTTTAGGAGGAGATATACCTATATATATACTTTTTCCCATACAAACGGGCTAAAATTTTGAACGCGTGGATTTCGAAGACTATAAGAAATATAAGTGTTAGATTTGGAACTCCCGCCCCTATAGCAGAAATCTGGTTGTAGCGCTGGTAATGTTAGTTCGTTAATGTTTTTAGAAAACGTTTTGATGCCAAACTGTTCCAATGGCTAATCTTCACCCATTAATCAAAAAGCAGCCAAATCGAATTATCCCTACTGAATCAGCAGTATGGCAGAAGGTTTTTTGTTTTTTTTGTTTGCCTAAGCGCAAAAGTTTTATCTTCTTCTTCCCAAGGGTTATCTTTGGCAATTTTTTATCTCAACAACTCTTTCATCGGAATAGTTAATGGACTGTTATAGACTTGTTTTTTGTTCGTTTGCTTCTTATTTTTTTTACTTCTTTGGGTTTTACTTCTTTGGCCCTTTCTACTTCTTTGGTTTACGCTGCTGAAAATTTGTTGCTGAGAATCCATACCGTTAATGTCTAAACTCTCAAGGTCAGTTAAACTGTGGGTGGAAGAGATGAGTACCAGGTATAATATAGTCGTAAAACACTACTATAGCCGTTTCTTGTTTTAAGGGGTTACGCCACCCTGAAATTTTTTTTTACTTAATTTAAAAGACTATATTCTTACGCGTATTTTAAGACGTCCCCGAATACAATATCTTGATAATTATGGAAGTTATGTTTATTTGAAATCGGCACGGCAGGAGGGCACCTAAGACACTTCTCTTTCTTCTTTTGCGTTTTTCTCGAAACCACTTCTTACATAGATTTTCCACAGAGTGACGTAGGATTTTTTCGATCCAATGGATGAAAATTTTTTTATGCAATTTTTAGTACGAAATTTTTTGCCCAAAAAATTGAGTCAATATTTGAAGTGCTCTCATTTGCGTAATTTTTGTGACGGCTACGTCACTCTGTTCCAAATTTATCACTTTTAAAAAAAAATTTTGTTTACTTGATTGAAATGAAAATTGACACGTGAATCATGCCCACCATCAAGGAGCACTCCGGAAAAACCGATGATCGCCGATGTTCATATCTCCGCCATTTTGCATAGAAAACAAGTTTTTTTTTATAATTTTAAAGCTCATTAGTTGTATTGAATAGAAATAAAAGTGGAAAAATCCTATCTCAACTAGTTTAGTCACAAGAAATTCCTGAAAAACCGTCCCGTTTCCACGCGGTCAGGGTGGCGTAACCCCTTAAATTATTTATTCTAATAAATTGGTTTTAAAATAAAATTTGCTTAAGGATTAATATCGGATCATAACTGCAGGGGTAAAACAACTGTGGCTCCTCCCGAAGCTTGGTTTCCTTTATTGTTTTAATTTATATTTGAAAATTTGAATTTCAATAAAACATTTTTCTTATTTTATTACAATAGATGATGATGAATGCACTCTTAATACTCATAACTGCCCTTCAAAATATGACTGCTACAATACCAAAGGATCGTTTCGTTGTTACAGAAAAACTTCAACATCGACTACAACTACGACTAGGCCAAGGATCTCAAATCTTATACCAAGCAGTAATTACTCAAAATATCCTGACCAAAATACTGAAAATACTGACTTAAAAATTTCTTGCTCATCTGGATTTCATAGGAATGATTTTGGCGCATGTGTCGGTAAATATTTGTGGTGTTAATTTTACATAACTTACGTAACCACTATTGAAACGAAACTGATTATAAAAATTTTTTTTTTCCCAAGGGTTATCTTTGGCTATTTGTTATCTCAACAACTCTTTCATCGGTAGAGTCAAAGGACTGCTTTAGACTTGTTCTTTGTTCTTTTGCTTTTTTTTTTTACTTCTTTGGTTTACGCTGCTTATTCAAAAAATGTATTCAAAAACAAGAAGGGAAAGCTAACTTCGGACGGAGCCGAAGTTTATGTACCCTTGCAGTTAAATCCGGATATATATCACAAACATCGGATATAGTTGGCCGATCCTTATGATTACATCATAATAAAACCAATTAACTAAAATACAAAATCTAAAAAAAGTCCCAAACTTCTATCTTCAAAAATAAGAAAGTTGATATTTCTACCAAATACCATTTCCGATCGTTCAGTTATATGGCAGCTATAGGATATAGTCGGCCGATCCTAATGAAATTTGGTAGGTTGGATCAACTGACCAAAAATAGAATCTGTATTAAGTTTCAGCTTTCTATCTTCAAAAACACGAAAGTTGGGTCATTTCCGATCGTTCAGTTATATGGCAGCTATAGGATATAGTCGGCCGATCCTTATGAAATTTGGCATGTCGTATTATTTTGCCAAAAATAGCTCTCATGTCAAATCTCATGTCAAATCTCTAACTCTAGAAACACCAAAGTTATACCTTTTCCGATCAATCAGTTATATGGCAGCTATAGGATATAGTCTGCCGATCCGGGCCGTTCCGACTTATATACTGCGTGCAAAGGAAAGAAGGGTGTGTGCAAAGTTTCAAGACGATAGCTTTAAAACTGAGAGACTAGTTTGCGTAGAAACAGACAGACGGACAGACAGACGGACAGACAGACGGACAGACAGACGGACAGACGGACAGACGGACAGACGGACAGACGGACATGCTCATATCAACTCAGGAGGTGATCCTGATCAAGAATATATATACTTTATAGGGTCGGATATGTCTCCTTCACTGCGTTGCACACTTTTGACCAAAATTATAATACCCTCTGCAAGGGTATAATGAATGCTGATTACTAAAAATTAAAAGAAACCAGCAGAAAAGTCTACTGAATATTAATAGTAGACAACATACTATGCTACAGCAGAAGCAAGCAACAGTTGCAGCATTTCCGAAATTCGTCGGCTGCTGTAACTTTGACGGTACGAAAACGGTAAACTTTTTTCGTTGTTGGTGAGGGGGGTATGTGTCAAAAAAATGTGTGGCTTTGTATATGTGTATGTATCACTGCTCGCACGACGGCGTATAATTTTTTGGGCTTCCAAATGTCAATTTCGATTTCTCGTTTATGTTTTCAATGCGTCGATGTGGCAGTAGAACAAATAGTATTTTTGATCACTACCGATCAGTCACGATGGTAATGAAAAAAGGCGTAATGCATAGAATTACACTTTTCCTATGTTCAGATCCTCCTCAAGGACTTCAAGCTTTTCCTCTTTTTTGTAATTATGTTTTTTTATACCCTTGCAGATGGTATCATAATTTTGTCCAAAAGTGTGCAACGCAGTGAAGGAGACATCTCCGACCCTACAAAGTAAATGTATTCTTTATCAGGATCACCTCCTGAGTTGATATGAGCATGTCCGTCTGTCTGTCTGTTCCTACGCGAACTAGTCTCTCAGTTTTGAAACTTTGCACACAACCTTTCCTTTTCACGCAGTATATAAGTCGGAACGGGATCGGCCGACTATATCCTATAGCTGCCATATAACTGATTGCTCGGAAATGGTATAACTTTGGTGTTTGAAAAGTTAGAGAGTTCAAATTTTACAAGAAATCTATTTTTGGCAAAATAATACGACATTATTAATTGGTTTTATTATGATATTCTCATAAGGATCGGCCAACTATATCCGATGTTTGCGATATTCATCCGGTTTTAGCTGCAAGGGTATATCAACTTCGGCTCAGCCCGAAGTTAGCTTTCCTTTCTTTAATTGTATAATAAAAAAAAAAATTTAAGAATTATGTCCGGTAAATAAAATTCCAAGGGAGTTCGTCCGCTATTTTGTCATTTGAAACGTCCGTCACTATTTTCCCCATTTCTCATAATGAAATGAATAACAAAATAATTACTTTTACAGTAGTAATAGAATGAAATAAAATAATTTTAATAAAGAAAATATATAAAAAGTAATAACCAATAATAAAAGTAAATATTATAAAAATAATCTTAACATTTGATTTTGATATATTGAAACAACCTCCACTCATAAAATCGAACCCTGTACCACACCGCGCGCTTTTCATCTAGGCTACCCTCATAGTTGGTCTAATGATACTTAAAGTTGGAATTAAAGAAACTCGAGAATCCATAGCAAAAACTGAGTTGAAGAGTAAAGATAGTAGTCGATATTTCTTATCTCTTTGCTCTCACACTGGTTCGATGTGAACGTTTCAAACTTTAATCATTCCAAAGATGTAACGTTCTAAAAATAGAATTCTCTCTTTCCCTCTCTCATCTGTTATCCGTTTGTCGTGGAACCCGCTCAATTATTTTTATTTTTTTTTTCGGCTTGCCAAAACGCCGTAGAACCCGCACTTATAGAGATTTGTACAGCGGGTTCCATTACAAACTGACGCGATGTTGGGGTGATTTTTAAATTTCGTTTGATTTTGTTTGATTTCTTGATTGGATTATAAATTTTGGAAAACCCTTTAAAAAAATTAAAATTTAATATAAATAGATTTAAACTAAACAAACTTAACTTCTCGCCCTGTGGAACCCGCTCGTTTCAGCCATAGAAAATTTTTGTTTGTATGAGATGTCCCATCTTTGTACTTTATAATCTTTGCTTTGACTAACTCCCATAATCGAAAGCAGCAGCGAAGCAGTAAGCAGAAAAATGAAAATCTGCAACAGCGGCAGCGGTTTTGAAATTACTGCTTATGCTTCGACTGCGGTTTCGTGTTTTTTTCGGAAGCAGAACCAAATTCTCATCTTGAAAAGTCGCTCACAGCCGAAGCAGTTGGTATATATTTATTCAAACTTTTTCTTATGGGCCTGCAGTTTTTTAAACACTGTATCGACCTACTATATCCTGTAGCTCCTTTACGACCAAACGTTTGGTAATAAAATTCTCAAAGAAAAGACAACTTTATATCCCATGTTGGCCATATATATCCGATCTAAGCTGCAATGCTATGTATATTAATTTTGGCTCCGCCAGAAATTAGCTTTCCTTTTTTGTTTCAAAAACATTTTGTTTCACTTTAAAAGCTTGTTTCGGAAACATGTAAATAAATGACAAATTACAAATCTCAGTGTCATTTTTTTAAAGTAACACAATTTAATAAAAATATAAACATCCCAATAACCAAAAGATTATATTGTATATTATTGTTATACTAATTATAAACTAGAAAAAATAAGCTACAGACTTGAAACTTGCCACTCTCCAATTTGTTCTTTGCACGCAGAATTCTGAAAAAGCAGAATTTCACGATAATGAACTTGGAAACCGTCACCGAGAACAGTTAGCGTTTGTGAACAGAGAGGGATTGTTGGATTCAATAAAGCACGTTATGGATTTAAAAATTAATCAGCAGCGTTTATAAGGCGTCGGCTGTATATTTTACCAAAATTTTTTTATTTATGAAGATATATAGCAGTTGCAATAGAAAGTGGATCGCTATAGTCTGAGCATAAAAAGGTATAGGCTTGCGTTTATCGAAGCCAGACATATTAGGGGGGTAATGGCGAAGAAATAGAAAGTAAGTCGTTTTGGAGTCACAAGGAACGTTAGTCCTCTAGTTTATACATTTATTCGCCGAAATTGCCCACCCTCTAAAAAATGTAATGAGAAATATAAAGTTATAAAGTCAACTAGCTGGAGAACTAGCTGGATTTAGATAGGTAAAATAGTGTTTATGAACGGAAAGTGGGCAGTAAAATGACGCAGATAAATTTTCTAAGCCCATTTCCACAAGAGTGTATGTGTGTCACGTCAGCGCTATCCGCTCGATTGAAGCAACCCAACAAAGAGACAAATCGACTGAAGGGAGCAGAATGGTTTAAAACTTTAATTTTTTTTTTTGATAATTTTTTATTTAAAGCACATTATCTCAGGATAGAAGGATATCCTGTGAAAATTCCATGTCGATCGGAATTTAACTCGCTGAGATGAAAATTATCTTGTCATCGTTCTCCATTTCATTTGCATTTAAAACTTTTGACGCGCTTTTCTCAAAACAACTTTTTCCAAGTCGGTGCGTAACGTAACTCAAAAAGAAATGTTCGGATCTTAAATTTTTCACACATCCTTTATAAAGCAAATACTCTAGGATGAACTTTTTTTTTATTTAAAATAACACTGTGAGTCCACGTTTTACGCACCGCAAGACGACACTTTTTTGAAGCGAGCGACTGCCGTCACGGGGTAAATAATAATTATTTTTTGACAAACAAATTTCTAGATGCTCTCCAAATATAGCCATTTATCATGTAAACAAGAAAGGAAAGCTAACTTCGGGTGGAGCCGAAGTTTATATACCCTTGCAGTTAAAACCGGATATATATCGCAAACATCGGATATAGTTGGCCGATCCTTATGAATACATCATAATAAAACCAATTAACTAAAATGAAAAATCCAAAAAAAGTCCCAAACTTCTATCTTCAAAAATAAGAAAGTTGATATTTCTACCAAGTACCATTTCCGATCGTTCAGTTATATGGCAGCTATAGGATATAATCGGCCGATCCTAATGAAATTTGGTAGGTTGGATCAACTGGCCAAAACTATAATCTGTATTAAGTTTCAGCTTTCTATCTTCAAAAACACGAAAGTTGGGTCATTTCCGATCGTTCAGTTATATGGCAGCTATAGGATATAGTCGGCCGATCCTTATGAAATTTGGCATGTCGTAATAATTTGTAGCTCTCGTGTCAAATTTGAACTCTCTAACTCTAAAAACACCAAAGTT